GACACACAAAATCTAAATGCATCTGATAGATTTTCTATGACAAGAGATGCAGAAGCAGTTCAGCTGTTATTGGTTGGGTCATCTCCGAATTACAGAAATGCTCTTTTTGATCAACGTCTGTCTTGCTTTCCCTTTTTTTTTTCATTTTCATCTTCTCCAGGCTTGAGATGAAGACTTTCAGTTTTACTTTCTCACTATTTCATATTCCTTTTCTTTTTTGGGGGGCCTGGGTGGGGGCGTGGCTCTGTTTCAGTGATGCAAGATCAAAGAGATAAATCCTTTTATGCCGCTTTGCAGCACAACTATGGCCAACTTCCCTGTGAGAGTAAGTTGTGGATGATTATGATCAGTCAAATTATGTTTTTTGATGTTATAGTAGTTAGTCGGAAGCGGGAATTGAATTTGGAACTGAATCTTTGTTTTTTCTTGTATTGTTGGCTACTGATTGATGGAATTTAACTGTAGACTCAGCATTCAATGCAGAGGGAAAACAATTATCATCATTAAGCTCAGGAAAGGATTTATCTTATCCTTCTATCTATGGAATAAAACATAAATGAGGATATTTAGCAAATACCACTTGTCTCAGTGATGAGAATCCTGTTTGCAACTTCTGTGAGCACTGCTTGCAGTTAGTAATGTTCTGAATGTAAAGCTTTATCCTTCTATTTGCTCAAAAAAATGGAAGCATGGTATTAGTTCTGCTTATGGAACTGAAGACAATGATACTTGTACTGTAGGCTTTATTGTAATCATAAAAATGGTGCACTTAGTTGGGTTCTTCATTTTCAACTACCTTTTGAAGTATCTCGAGTGACTTGTATACAATACTTGTTCTGTAGGCTTTATGAGTGATTTGTATATACTTTAATTATTATCAGAAAAATAGTGCATTTACTTGGGTTCTTCATTTTTAACAACCTTTTGAAGTACCTTGAGTCTTCCTATATAATGTCAGTGACTTTCTTATCTTCTTCCCTTTTTCTTGACAATCTCCAGATGGCCATGATGTTGGGGAAGCTCGAGTGAAGCATAGGGTTCCAGAGAGGAGGTCAACCTCCATATCTCAGCAAGAACAAAAATCAGATAAAAATTCTAATGAAGCGAGAAACGCAAAAACTGTTCCACCAACAACAGGTGATTATTTTCTGCTCTTTCCATACTTTTATTGCTCAATGATCGTATTGATATGTATTGGTCAAAAACGAATTAACATTGCCAAAGTTGAAGTTATCATAAGTTATTTTGCATGGTTCTTTTTCTGTGCATATCTTTGTCATAATTATCCTTCAAATCTGTTTATACAATTTTGAACCTTCCAGCTAAACCTAGTTCATTACCGGCACAAGCTCCTCCTTCAGCAGAACCAGCAAAACCAGTGACCGATGCTTCTCATGGAAAAAACAAGTTCTTCCTTGCAAGGTGGTTCGGTTTTGGATCAAAGTGAAGACTAATAAATTGGATTAGGTTATCTATTGTAAATTTCATGTGGAAATCTTAAATTATGATGAGCGGAAACCTAAAGCTGTGATGATTCAACATACAAATTCTATTATTGTTTTTATGTCAGATAATAATACGAATAGGTGGGTGTAGGAACATTATCTCATGCTATAACATAATCTATCATCTATATTTGCAGCTGTCTTGTTGTGTCCCTGTTGTTGAAGTTAATGTCAAGAATCTTGCTCTTAAAGAATTAGTTTCTTTCTGTCTGTCCGATAGATCAAGCGAGAACTGCTTTGGCATTTGCATTATTGTGAAAGATCAAGCATTTAACTTTTCAATATAAATTGAAAAAACCTATTTCTAGCTTCTCGACAAATAAATAAAATAACATGAAATAGCTAATTATAATGGTCTAGAGTGTATTGACCTGCAGATTACCGTTTTAAGACTCTTAACATGGTAATTATCTCTTGTTGAGACTATGAAAGCTGGGATTAAGAAATTTATGGGGAAAATTTTAGTCTCTTGATGAAGATCTAGGTGCCTATCATCATAGAAAATATTGGAATCTTTATCGCCCATATGGGCCACATGGAGATAAGTAGAGGACGGACACAATTTAAGACGGACTTGGGTCACATGGGAGGAATATCACAAGACTATATGCCAAGAAACTCAAGCAACCCTTTTAAGCTTATGTTAAAGAGTGGATTAATGAAAAAGGAAGACTTGGACTAAATTTGGAAGCCCATGGAAAGATGGAGGTTGAATCCATCAAGCCAAGGGGAGAGGCGGCCAAATTCCTCTCCTACAACCTTTTAGACTCTCAGTCAAACTCTCCTACAACTTGTGGTGGAATGTAGGACTCTTCCAAGCTGATTATTAAGCATCCCTATTCCTCTACAAGTCATGGTAACCAATCTTCAAAGAGTCATTACTCCTTAAAGAGTACTTATTTTTATGGAAGTCAATTATAGAGTCTCTATCCTACATGGAGGCCAATCACTAAAGAGCTTTTTTCCATAGATTATGGATGGTTTCAGCCCCGGTCTCAGAAGGAGTAAGAGTTCTTATTCTCCAAAACATGGTTGGATTTGTTGATGTATTAAAATTTTACTTAGAAATATTTAGATATTTTCTATTTTGCAAGTACAAAGTATTGTAGTATATGTGTGGTCTTGCATATTTCTAGTAGTAAAATATGCATTTAATATTTTACAGTAATTAGTGTTATGATGATCTTTTATAATTTAAGAAAATTGTTTACTTATGCAAGAAACCTTTGTAAATCAATCTTTTGTATCTTGAATGTTATCAACGAAAAATCACATTTCTTACCATATTTGCTATTATTTTTTCTCTTTTTATTTTCTACCAAATGATATCAAAGCCTTTTTTCTTGAAAAACCTATGAAAGGTGATTTTGAATGTTTGTTAGGTGAGAGTTCAAACACTTTGTGAAGCAATTGCTACATGGCTTCATCAAACTTTTTAGGAACTGATCCTTCATTATTTAATGGAGAGAACTACTAGATTTGAGCAATTAAAATGAAAGCTTATTTAAACGCTTTAAACTTGTGGGAAGCAGTTGAAAATGGAGGAGAACCTACACCACTTGGATTAGATCCAACATTGGCTAAAATTAAAAACCATGAAGAGCAGAAAGCCAAGAAACCAAGGACCTAACATGTCTGCATTCAGCTTTGTCTGAAACTATATTCTTAAGTGTGATGGTGTGTAAAACTCCTAAGGAGATATGGAACAAGTTAAAGGAAGAATATGAAGGAGGTGAAAGTGAAATCAGTGAAACATCTCACTTTGAAAAGGGAGTTTGAGATGCTATGAACAAAAGAGGGTGAGTTTGTTAAAGAATATGCAGTAAAGTTACGAGAAATTGTTAATAAAATTAAGTTATATGGAGAAGCATTTTCTGATTTCAAAATAGTTAAAAAGATTTTGATAAGTCTTCCAGCAAGTTTTGAGCCTAAGATTTCTGCTATAAAGGAATCATGTGATCTTAAAGTCCTCTATGTTGCAAAACTTATAAACAAATTGCATGCTTAGGAACAAAGATCAAACCTAAGAGAAAATGAAGCTGTCGAAGGTGCATTTCAAGCTAAGTAGAAATGGAGACCTCAAGGAAAGGAGTATAAGAAGGGGAGTGATAAGAAATGGAAGGGTGTTGAAACTTCAAAAGATCAAGGAAAGAGAAATAAGTTCCCTTCTTGCAATATCTATCAAATAACAAATTATCTTGAGAAAAATTGCAAGTTCAAAGATAAACCAAAGATTAAATGCAAGTATTGTAAGAAGCTGGGGCATATAAAAAGAATTATTGGGCTAAGAAAAATCAAGCAAACAAAAAGGCGGGCAAACATGCAAATTACACTGATGAATAGGATGAGGAAACATAAAAAATTTTTATGGTCTCTCAATGCTCTTTTGACACTTGCAATCACACTTGGTATGTGAATTGTGGTTGTAAAAGTAACATGGAAAATAAGGAGAACATGTTCTGCTAACTTGATAAACAATCAATAACATGAGTCAAACTTGGAAATGGACAAATGGTTGAAGCTCAAGGCAAAGGTAATGTTGTTATTTAGTCTCTAAAATATACCAAAAATATTCAAAATGTTCTTTACATACCAATCTTAACATAAAATCTTCTAAGTATTGTAAAAATAATTTTCAATTGCTACTCTTTGGTTTTTAAAAATCACAGTTACTACATATTTGATCAAAATAATCACTTAGTTATTGAAGTGAAAATAATAGATAAATATTTTCTGCTGAAATGGAATGTTGTCCTTGATAGTGCTCTTTATAGTAAATATGATGAAACATCGTTGTGGCATAGGAGATATGGACATTTCAATCTTGTATCATTGAAGAAAATGCAATATGGACATTTAAATAGAGATTTTCGAGGACTAAAATAATAAAAACTTATACATGTTATATGTCAGCTTGGAAAGTCTCATAAATAGCCATTTCATTCAAATTCTAAATGAAGAGCAAGAGAGAGACTTGAATTAGTACACAAAGATGTGTATGGACATATGAGCATTGAATCTTTCAACAAAAACAAATCTTTCATGCCCTTCATCGATGATTATAGTAGGATGACATAGACATATTTTTTAAGAAGTAAGAGACAAGTATATGATGTGTTTAAAAGATTTAAAGCTATGGTTGAACTGTAAAGTGGGTGTCAACTGAAGGTTATTAGATCAGACAATGGTAAAGAATATGTCTCAAAAGAATTCCAAAATTTTTGTGCAGAAGATGGCATTCAATATAAATTCACAGTTAATTATTCACCTCAAAAAACAAAGTTTGCGAATAGAAGAACATGGTTGTTGTAGAAATGGCAAGGTGTTTGATGAATGATAAGTCCTTACTTAAGTAATTTTAGGTTGAGGTAGTGTGATGTGAGCATGGACATGGATAATGAAAGGACGACTAAAAGAAGATGAGTGGCAATGGACTAGTCGGCAGAAAAGATATCCTAATGCTAAGTAGGCCCATTACAATAAGCCTTTCGAATCTTTTTTCAAGCATGGATCAATGAGGAAGATGGGCTTGGACCCAGTAAAAAAGGCCAAGGAAAGAAAACAATAAGGTCATTAACCTAATGGTATCAATATACAATTTACTCCAAGTGTAATAGGGAAATAAGCAAGAAAAAGAGAAAGAAATTTTTTCATAAAGGAAAAATTCTCCAAGACTCCAAGACATGAAAAAAGAAAAATTTTCATGAGATTTTATTTCCTAATCCTGCGAGAAACCTTCATAAATAAAGATCACCAAATAGGAAAATTGTTCCTAAATTGCAAGTTATCTTGAGAAATAAGAAAACTATTAAATGCAAAATCCTAGAGAATAGAAAAACACTTGAGAAAGAGAAAAATATTTTACAATAATTTCTCATCTAAATCAGCTACAATTAATTAAAACATTTTTTATTTAAAAAGGTTTCGTCATAGGGAAATCATATCTATTATATTTTAGTTATAATCTTCTTAATTTTGTTAGTTTTTCTATTATACTCTATATTTATTTTTCTATGTAATTTTACCATTAATTTAGGATATTGTTTTCTTATTATTTATATAGGCTACACTATAAATAATGTTTAATTTAGAGTTGTAAAGATTCAAAAAAAAATTAGCTTATTAATAAAATTTAGATATTCTTGTTTTAAACTTCCAATCTTTTAAGAGTGAATGAGTTGATCTTTGATCAACTTGTTGTGCCAGGAATTGGAATTACTTATCGAGGTAAGACTCATGGTATCTTTTTAATTTTAGTTTTTTATCTCTTTTCCTATAACATTGATTTTCACTTCCCTGTTGAGTGTGGATCAAGTAGGGAGGATTTACTTAGGATTTTGAATTTTTAGTTGTTGATGTATATGCGGGATTTTGGATTGTATTGTTGATCCTAGATTTCGCATCACAGTGCATACTTCGGTGTACTTATTGAACAGGTTACCAACTAAGACTGTGGATGGTAAAACATTTGTAAAAGCTTGGTCAGGGGTAAAACCATCAGTAAAGGATTTAAAAGTGTTTGGTTCAGCTTGTTATAAGCATATTCCAACTATAAAGCGAACCAAGCTTGATGAAAAAGCTTAAAAGGGAATATTTATGGGGTATGATGCTACTTCCAAAGAGTATCGAGTGTACAATTTGACTACTCAAAAAGTGTAAGTATGTAGAGGTATAGTTATTGATGAAATTTCACAATGGAATTGGGAGCTTAAAAGAATTGAGAAAGATAAATTTGAAGGCTAAAGACTAGTTCACTCTGGAGAAGTACTTCAACCAGTTTTAGCAAACAATGAACATGAAAATCTCAATTCTAAAGCTTTAAGTGAATCATTAAAGCAGAAAAAAAAGGTTGTTGTCTAACATCTATGAAAATTTTAATTTCATGAAACGTGAACCTTCTAAATTTGAGGAGACAGAAAAATGTGAAGAATGAAAAAATGTTATGTTGGAGTAGATATCTATAATTGTCAAAAATAAAACATGGAGCTTGGTGGAAAGACCTAAATCGAAGAATGTTATAAGTGTTAAATGGATTTTCAAAACAAAGTTAAATCCATATGGATCCATTCACAAACACAAGGTAAGGCTTGTTGTTAAAGGCTATTAATAACAACCAAGTGAGGAATTTAGAGATAC